AAGTGTCTCCTAATAGCAGCACTAAAGCATGATTGGTGATACCATTCTTTACTATATCCAATTTCAGTACAAAGGTTTTCTATTCTTTGACATGGTTGTATCCTAAATAAACACAACACTGCTTATTAAACCATAGGTATTCAGTAAATGGTAGCTATTATTTTGCTTTACTTAACAGCCACGATTAGATCATTTGTGTGACTCATGGAGAGTAGCTTGAGATAACTGGACAAGAATTAGAAGAAAATGATACAGGGGCCGGCCCGGTGGTGCAAGTGGTTAAGTGCGCGTGCTCTGCTGCGGCGGCCCGGGGTTCGCCAGTTCGGATCCTGAGCGCACACCGACACACCGCTTGTTAAGCAATGCTGTGGCAGCATCCCATGTGAAGTGGAGGAAGATGGGCACGGATGTTAGCCCAGGGCCAGTCTTCCTCAGCAAAAAAGAAAAGGATTGGCATCGGATGTTAGCTCAGGGCTGGTCTTTCTCACACACACAAAACAAACAAACAAACAAAAAACAAAAAAGAAGAAGAAAATGATACAGTATATTCAAGAGTGCATAGATTTTTTGGGGGAAAATGGTCTAAGGGCGTATTAAGTGCGATCTAGGGGGAAAGAGGTTGCAATGAAAAGAAATGAGCAGGGGGCTGGCCCCATGGTGTAGTGGTTAAGTTCAGCATGCTCCACTTCAGCGGCCCAGGTTGGCAGGTTCAGATCCCAGGCTTGGACCTACACCACTTGTCAGCCATGCTGTGGCAGCAACCCACATACAAAATAGAGGAAGATAGGCACAGATGTTAGCTCAGGGCTAATCTTCCTCAAGCAAGAAAAACAAGAAGACCGGCAACAGATGTTAGCCCAGGTTGAATCTTCCTCAGCAAAAAATAAATAAATAAATAACAACATATTTAAAAAAAAAGAAGAAAGAAAAGAAATGAGCAGTTTGTATATGATCCCCAAGAAGTGAAAAAAATGCCCACAGTTCTTCCATGTTGACCTACAGGTAACACTTTAATCCTCTGCAATTTTATTCCAAACTGTATCTGGAGCAGACATGAGACCACATCTGAAGGTGTAAATTGGGGGGGAGGGGTAGATAGGGACAAAGCAGCATATATACCCAGCCCCTTGCATCACGTGCATGGTGGTGATCTATTTAAGACAAAAGTCGGTGCCTCTAGGACTGCCTAAGAGCATAAAACTTGAGTGTTAAACACAACTTCTAAATTCCTTACTTTTTATTTAGTTTCAGTTCAAAGGAACACATTTGAAAGATCCTCCTTATAGACAGATACTCCTGACTTCCAAAAAATTAGCTAATCATGATATGAATGTTCTCAATGTTTTTCATATATACCTTCAGTAAGTGATTGATCAAAATGAATTCATCAGTTCTGCCATTTACTTGTTCTTATAAAATGTTTGAAAGAGAAAAACAAAAAATAATTAGATAAAACATGGGTTAGGGACAGTCATTATATTTAACTTATCTATACTATCTTCTTCATTTGCAAGGAGAAATATGTTTAAAACTATATTTCTCAGCCCTCTCTCTTCCTCAACTCCACTTGTCTTTTCCCTGAACTCAGGCATCTGAAAAGAAAAGGGGGAAAAAACCCAGCTTAACTTAAGACATATCGAGCACTTTAGGCTTCCAGTATTGTCAGAATAACCCAAACCCTCTTGCTGAAGACATTTTAAAAAGCTGGATGAAAAAACAGACTTCTTAAAAGCATCAAATGGCCAAGGCGCCGAAGAATTACCGGGCTGACACCTGGGAGAGGACAGGAGGCCAGAAAAGCAAGTCTGTACTTGGCTGGCTTAGGCCCTGAAGCATCAGCACTGGCTGATGCAGACAAGAAGGTGCACTCTGTGAGCTTTTGGTGCCATCATTGCTCAGTGCTCGCTAAGGGCAGGGACCCTGGAGAATTCCCTGCCGCCTCCCAATTTTGGGATGATATCCTAAAGTGCTACACTGGTTTCATAGCCTCTTATATTACAGGCCCAGTAAACCTCAAACTCTGGTCCTAGACCAGACAGAGGTTGGCAAACTAAGACCTGCAGGCCAAATGTGACCCAGCCCCTATTTTTGTATAGACTCTGAGCTAAGAATCATGTTTTAAATGATTGGAAAGAATTTTTAAAAATAATATTTCATGACACATGAAAATCATATGAAATTCAAATTTCCATATCCATAAATAAAATTTTACTGAAACATAGCCATGCCCATTTGTTTACATGTTGTCCATGGCTGCTTTCAACTACAACAGCAAAGCTGAGTAGCTGCAACATACACTGTATGGCCCTCAAAGCCTAAAATATTTACTATCTGGTCCTTTAGAGAAAAAGTTTGCAGACCTATGTCCTTGACTATGAATGCCCTCTAGTGCCTGTGAGAAAAAACAAAAGTCCTCTCTAGAGGAAAACAACATCATCCTGGAATTCAAACAAAAATAAGGAGGAATAGGGGTTGGCCCAGTGGCATAGTGGTTAAGTTTGCACACTCCACTTCAGCGGCCCGGGGTTCACAGGTTCGGATCCTGGGCATGGAACTACACACCGCTCATCAACTCATGCTGTAGCAGCGTCCCACATACAAAATAGAGGAAGATGGGCACAGATGTTAGCTCAGGGACAACCTTAATCAAGCAAAAAGAGGAGGATTGGCAACAGATGTTAGCTCAGGGCCAGTCTTCCTCACCAAAAAGAAAAAAAAAAAAGAGGCATATTAGGAGCCTAGATACCATAAACCAGAACCAACAGATAACAAGACAATAAAAGACCCTAGAGACTTCAGCTATTGAAAATATGAGGCCCAAGCTGTGAAAGAACAATGCACTCTAGTTTCAAGGAAGTAAAAGCTAAGGGTGAAAATTTCAAAAGATACTAGAAAATATTACCAAAAAAAAAAAAAAGAATTATGATCAGGAAGCATCATGCTAGGGGGTGTTTGCAATGTTCTATTTCTTCACCTGGTGGTTACATTTTACAATTCATTAAACTGTACCTTCATGTTTTATCAACTTTTCGGTCTGAGTTATTTCACAATTTTAAAAAGGCTTAAAAAACATGGAACGCTACATTCTTGATTCCTTACACGAAAAATAAGTCCTGGTCACATCTTTCAAATGGGACCTCCCTCACATCAATGGAGGTTTATAAAAAGGAAATTACTTGACTTATATTTTTTAACTTATCCCATAAAGTTAATTAACAGCAAATGCTAAAAATTACTGAAAACAGTGTGTGTGTGTTGTGTGTGAATACATATCTTTTCTTTTTGTCTTTAGAGTATATCTCATTAGGAACATATAGTGAAATTGCTGTGTTTTACAACAATTTCTTTCTTTTTAAAAAGGTGGAGATATAAAAAAAAAAAATGGAGATATAACTCCCATACTATACAATTCACCATTTTAAAGTGCACAATTCAGTGTTTTTCAGTATATTCACAAGATTGTGCAGTCATCACCACTACCTAATTCCCGAACATTTCATCACCCCAAAAAGAAACCCCATATCCAATTAGCAGTCACTCTCCATTCTCCTCTTCCCCCAACTCCTGGCAACCACTAATCTAATTTCCGTTTCTATAGCTTTGTCTATTCTGCAAATCATTGTGGAATCATACATATGTGCCCTTTTGTGTCTGGCTTCTTTCACTTAGCATGGTTTCAAGGTTCATCCACGTTATAGCATGTATCAGTACTTCACTCTTTTTTTTCAAGGCTGAATAATATTCCATTGTCTTAATATACTAGTTCTGTTTATCCATTGATGGACAGGGGGATTTTCACATTTTAGATATTATGAACAACGCTGCTAGGAACACGTGCAGGCTTTTGTGTAGATATCTGTTTCCAATTCTCTTGAGTGTATACCTAGGAGTGGAATTGCTAGGTTATATGGTAACTCTATGTTTAACATTTTTTTTAATCACAGTAAAAAGTACATAACATGAAATCTACCATTTTAACCATTTTTAAGCATACATTTCAGTAGTGTTAACTATATTCAAGTTGTCGTGAAAC